CCTTCACGCCGCACTTGGATGTGTTGCCTTCCATTGCGCCACCCGTGTTTGGTGTTGTTTCGCGCGTCACATTCTCGGTCCTCGTACTTGCGATAGTGTCGCCGACATCTTCCTCCGTCACTTGTTGACCACCTAAAACGAACAGCGAAGGTGTTTCCATTGTGATGTGCACCAAGCAATGGGAGGTCAATCTCGTCATCCTCTGTCTCCTCCTCACTGTCCATAATGTTGAACTGCTTCCCAACATCCAGTACCTCGCAGTACACCTTGACATCAATTTTGTCTCGCTTCTTTTCAAACCATAGCGGTTCACATCGTCCCAAAAATATCTCAATTGCACCACGTTTGGCATTGTGATATACTTGCAGATGTCGGATCACTATCACCTTACGGTGCAGATAATCCGCATCTGTTGATGTCGCGGGTGCATTGCAAAACAGATGCCTCCGCAAAGAGTCTCTCTTCTTGCCAAGCTTCAGGAAAATGTCTCGGTCCACACGATATCGAGGTTTCGGTCGTTCGAAGTGACACCTACTATCCGGATTGTGGACGTGACGATCGATAAACAAAGAGGAGTACTCAATCATGTTTGACGAACCATCGCATGTGACGACATGGCGTCCTGAGCGAAGCAAGTCCATTGCACGTTGCCCAATAACAAGATACCTTCCCCTTCCTTCGAAAACCAGGTGCACAAGTCTTTCATCTTTGTTGGTTTCCTCTCCCATATCCCATACATGGGTTTGTTATCGCCTCGCACGTCGATTGCCTCTTTTGTACATCGTACAAATAACTCTTCCACGTAATGCGTGTCGAAGATAGTGTTCCCACGAGGCTTTGCGACCGTGACTTTTTTAAAATCATTGTTTGTATCGTGCAGCACTATGGTCATGAAGTCGCGCCCTCTCAATGGAAGGTTTCCAACTTGGCCGCATGATGATGTCGCTTCGCTATAACGGCGCCAACGCCCTGGAAAAACTCTCACACCCTCCCACTTGAACATGTTCCTCATGACCGTTTCCTCGTCTTTCAATGCGTTGAATATGATTGATGCCCAATGCGTCCCGCACAACACCGTCATCATTTGGCGGAGCTCATGAAAGCTTTGCTCATTCCATGCGTCGCGATTCTTCAACGGAGCCAAGTCCAACACTGCAAGGTGACAACTCAACTTCCTCACAGCACGAGTCAAATCTTCCGCTGGGTGCAGTGCGTCCATAGGTGTGATGCATACAAGAAGATACGTTGTGTGATCTTTGCGCTTATCCCACATTATGTCCTGAGCATTTGAGTTGATCCGCCGCAGCTCATCCCTCAAATGGTCAACTGCGCCAAGAATTTTATGCACAAAAAGTTCGAGGAAGTACGGACACTCCATATGTATTGTAGTCGTCACCTTGTGCCCCCCGACATTCCCGTTTTCTAGTTTCGCCTCATCCACGCCACCCAATTGTTTTGGGACATTGATTGTATTATTTGTTGGAATGTTCTTCCCATTTCTCCCTCTTCAACCCTCCTGGTGCAAACCGCCTCATTATGGTATAGTATCCAATGAAGAACTTGTCATTTCACTCCTCCTCCGACCTCTGCTCTATCTTGAACAGGACATAGTTAAACATGCGCACCATATATCTTTCCCTTATCACCTCCACGTATAGGTCTTGCATGTTCATTTGTTTTTTCACGAATGCCCTTCCACTCGTGACGACAACGTGTCCTGGAAGTATTTTCTCGAGGGCCATTTTTTTCTCCCTTGACGTGAAATTGTCGAACACCTTCCATGCGCTTGTTGGGGGATCATTGATGCAAACATAGAAACTCAGCGAGCTTTTGTTGGATTGGATGTAGTGCACCAACACTTTTTTGCCTTTCACAGTCTTCGCAGCAGGGCCCGGTCCTGCCGTCTCGCCTGCTTTCCCTTCCTGATCCACTGGTCTGATGCCGTCCTGCCCAGGCAGTTCCCCTTTCTCCCATTTGTCAAAGAACTTCTCAACCAAATTCCACACCACCTTACCGCTCGCCGCGAGGCACATGTAGGGCCTTAACAGGTTTGACCAATTCCTCACAAATCTTTTCGCCAACGGCTGGTTCCAGAGCGTGGTGTCAGGAGTCATTCGTATAGCTTTCCGTACGAATTCCTAATATTGGTCACGCTGTGTAGTCCTTTCATCCACCATCTTCGCCTGATGCCAATCACCTTTTGGCTCTTTCATATTCTGCCACAGTCCTCTTATAACAGTCACAACCATTCGAAACGACGATGGGATAACACGTGTCTCCCTAGTGTTGTCAAATGTGGAGATGTACGCATACCCCTCCAAATGGTCGTCGTCAAAACACACAACCCGCGTCTTCCAAGAATGCATGCCCCATTTCTGGGCACCAGGCGATTTTGCAGCGACCAGCCTTTTTGCTGCCTCCGCTGTATGTTGGCCGACCACGTTGTACCAATGGTAGGAGGCAACCGTGTCATCATCCCACTCCTCCGGCTTCACATGCTCCCATTGGTTCCGGTCTTCCTTCTCCACTTGTATGACCGGAGCAAGAATCTACGTGTTTTTGTCCCACTCCTTTTGCTTTTCCGGGTGTTCCATTATGTCCCTGATGGAGGTGACCAACATCGCGTTCAACGATCTGTGGTTGTATTGCACGCCTTGTGAAGGGTTGGGCAGTATTTTGATGACGTCTACAAAAATTTGGGTAGGCTGATCTATTGCATTGTCGTCCGCGTCGTATTCCAGGAACAAACATTTTGTGGTGTCGATAGTGTCGTTGGTCAACTCTCATGGCTTCGATGTTGTATGTCACGGGTCAACGCCCGCCGCTTTGTCCCCAGAGTCCGCCACTTCCGTTGTCTCCTCGGCCTTTTCTTTCTTCGTCGGTCCCTGGAACATCGAGGGCGTTCATACTTTTCCTTTGCTGGTTTAGTGGATTGGGCGTCTAAGGATCTCTTCTAAGCCTCCTTTGAGGCCTGTAGGTTGATGAGTTTAGCTCGTCTCCGCTTCTTCTCCTCTGTTCTCCCAGATCTCGTTTTCCTCTTGCGCATGCACACAGACCTCTGTGTGCCATGCAACGCACCGTCATCTTTTGCCGGACCGTGATGACTTGTGGCCCAGGAATACTCTTCTCGGCTTTTCTGCGACCCGCTATTCCCATCGTCGTTGTCGTTCGGCCAATCCTCATCTCCTTCGCTCCCCCCTTCGTACCTGTCTTCGTGTTCTTCGGCGTCCTCGTTACTTGCATCCTCATTTTTTTCTTCTTCACTCCCATCGCCTTCGTGACCACCATCCTCTTTGCCTTCACTACCATCGCCTTCGGCCCAATCATCCTCTAAGTTTTCCTCTTCATCTTGTACACCGTCGCAGAACCATTGTTCGTCGTCGTCGCCTTCCGTGTTTTTCGCATCGTTGCCCTCAGCCCACCGCTCACCGTCCCACTGTCGGAAGTGCGAGTCCTCCTCTGTCTTCTCGTCGTCATCCTCGTGGTCAATGGCCACAGCAGCCGGAGACAAAGAACGCGAGCAACATATTCAGCATGTGACTGTGACTGTTTTGCAGACACACCCTTCGACTGGAGTGGAGCAGCTGACTTTCTCACGCTCTTTGCCTGTGTTGATGCGGCCCCGCTTTTGCTCATTTGGGCGGATGTTTTCGGCTCCCCACAACTCTTGCCTACCGCCTTTGGTGAGCACACAGATACGGCAGTCCGCAAAACGGGCTGGCACCAACAGCCCAGAGGTCCCCGCTGTGTAAGTAGTTCGGCAGTGAGTGCATCCCCGCCAGCTCTCTCTCTCTCTCTCTCTCTCTCTCTCTCTCTCTGTGTGTGTGTGTGTGTGTGTGTGTGTGTGTGTGTGTGTGTGTGTGTGTGTGTGTGTNGTGTGTGTGTGTCTGTGTGTGTGTGTCTGCTGGGGAATGTGTATAGGTTCGCAAACATGGGCAGGCCTGTGATGCATGCCCAATGGGACAATGCGGAGGGAGCCAAGGATCCGCAATGTGATAAAAAGGACTGAAATGGACAATGCAAGGTCAGCGTATCATCAACAAGCAATATACATTCCGATACATACAAGATGGCACGAAGTGGCGCAGTGGAAGACTTAGAAGAGAAGATCTGATCTGATCTAGACTGACCCGACATCCATCATACATCACACATGTGAGAGGGGAGGATGGACCGCAATCACAGAAGGAAGGTCCCTCCTTCGCACACTTACATGGGGAGATACCACGGATGAGAGATGGAGGGAAGGGACGAGACGAAGGAGAAGGAGGCGAGGGAGTAGACCAAGATTGCAATAGCGAAGTCCCAAAAATAGTCCCTTGCCAAGTGTCCAATCAATGTCTGTCCCAAAAATATCGGATCAGATCCTGGGCAATGTGCCCAGCATAACCTCTCCCTGTTTTTCCTACCGATAACCTTGCTCACTCTCGTAGATGAAGAAGAAGATAAAAAAGAGGAGGACGGAGGAAGAAGGAGAAGGGAGAGAGAGAGATGGAGGAGGAAGAAGAAGATGATGACGTCCTCCTTGCTATCTCACCTGCAGGTAGTTGTCACTGTACTGACTGTGGTCGTCGTCATGTGCAGGTACCGCGTGGAACCCGGCTATGGCGCCAGGTAAGCTCGCTGTTTGCAGGTAAGGCCTTCGCCTCTCTCTACTACCTATGCCGCTACTCCCTACTTTGTAGCTTAGGGTCTCGTTAGACACTCCTAAAAATGCCTATTTTTAGGATTGCGTCCTCGTTGCACACAGTCCTAAAACGAAATCGGAGATCAGAAATGTGAAAACGGCGTTAGGACGAGTCCTAAAAGATTTAGGATTCCCCAAGCAAAATCGTCCTAAATTTTCAAGTAGCCCCCGACCTACTGAAAAATTTAGGATTCCCGAGTTTCACGGAGTCGTTGCGTCACGCGCATGGCACCGTCGACACTCGTTGGTGGTTCAGAAGCGGTCCGTCGAGTCGGTGGTCGGACATCGGAGGTTTTCTGCGGCTCGACGCGGGCAACGGCCACACACGGTAGCCGTTGGCAGAGGGGGTGGAGCGCGGAGGGCCGAGCGTCGGCGGGTGGTTGCCCGTACTGGACCGTTGGGTCGCTTGCGAGATGCGGAGTGGGACGTCGACGTGCGCAGGACGACAAACGGAGCCGCTTCAGGCAGCGCGCACCGCAACGGTCGAATTTCAAAAGGAAGGCGGGCGTGTTCGTCGTCTTCTGTGGTGGTTGTCTGCATATGAAGGTCGAGCGCCCCTGTCGTGGGCATGTCGGAACACACATCTGCAGTGGTCACGTGCGAGGGCGGCTGCAGAGGTGAATTTCATGGCTGACGTGCGGAGGAGATTGCCTCTGCTGGTACTCGCTGTCGTCGTCTTCCTGATTTTCGTCTTCCTCTACGTGTGTTTTTCGTGGCGGCCGTCGAAACAACAACGCAAGAGAAGGGCTTCGACGAGACGGGCGGCAGGCGAACGTCTAATGGCGGGCATGCAGGCACGACCGGCTGCTGCCGCAGGTCAGGGAGGAGTTCGATCTTCTGCGGCGGAGCCTCGAAGGAGGTACGTCCCATCCATGTACACCCATCTGGAGTCGTGGGACACGCCATTGCCCCCGTCAGACGAGGAGCCGGAGAAGGAAGAACTTTCGACGTTGCCTCTCGCTAGCGTCTCGACTCAGTTGTGGTCGCAGATGGTGCGAGCAGGCGGGTCGGCTCCTGACGAAGGGGGCGAGTTCACGTCATTGCTCCATCAAGGCTTGCGGGACGACGACGACAGAGGAGTTGATCTGAGGTTCGAGTTGTGTTCTGGCGGCGGCAGGGAGGCGAGTTGTACGTTCATCATCGACGGAGATCGTTCGGCACGTGGCGTTGAGCATGGTGGAAGTCTGCATACGGAGCAGTCCACACTTCGTCGCGCTGCACCTATGACTGGCGCGGCCGGGCCATTGCCAGTGGGACGGCAACATGGATCGACTGCTCCGTCCGTCGATCGATTGACACCGACCTGGCCCGCACCCTCCGGGGTGGCAGCAGGGCCCCTGCGCATGGGCGGTGCACGTTCGTTGATGCCTGCGTGCACAACACCGGTCGAATCCGGAGTGAGGGACGAGGGAACGTGCAGAGCGCCGGTACGTCCACGACCCATTGTGGAGAACATAACACATGGAGTGTCGAACATGCGGGCACACAGCGATGGAGGCGAAGACGACGTTGGCTTCGGTGACGACGCAGACGAAGGGATGAGGGAAGACGTGGAAGCGGGGGATGACGACGACGAAGTTCCAATTCGGCCTTTGGGGAAGACGACTGGGAGGGGGAAAGGACGCGGCAGAGGTGGTGTCCGTGGTCGATCCGTTGGCCGTGGAGGCAGAGGTGGCGTAAGTGACGACGCCGGGAAGTCACCGACGTACTGGTTTGCAGAAGACCAAATGCTCCTGGTGCGATGCAAGCGGGAGCAAGATATGCACCTCGCCAACTTGTCTCACAATTACGGGCGGATGAAGACGAAAGAGTGGAAGTGGGAGGACATGTCGAAGCGGATGGCGAATGCGGGGAGGCCGAAGGACGATGACGACTGCATGAAGAAGTGGGACAATCTGTTCCAGAACTACAAGAAAATTCAGAGGTTTCAGAATGCCAGCGGGCGGCCAGATTTTTTCAGGCTGACGAACGAAGAGAGGAAGGAGCACAACTTCAAGTTCCGGATGGACAGGGCGCTGTACAACGAGATCCACGCAAGCATGGTGGGGAACCACACGATTTTCCCTCCCAACGTTGCCGACACTGGCAGTCCGGATGGGGTGCAGTTGCCCAGGCGAGGAGCGGGTGGCGGGGAGTCTGTTTGTAGTGAGGCGGCCGGTGAAGGCTGCCCTGACGAGCGTTCTTCTGCGAGGGAGTCCGACAGCAACGTAGGCAGCGGGGCGGGAGGCGGGAAGCGGAAGAACGCGCGTCAGCAGGCATTCGAGTCCATCTCTGATGTCATGGAACGCCATGGCGCACTGATGTCGTCGACGATCGAATCGTCTAGCAAGCGGCAATGCAGAATCTTCACGAGGCAATGCGACATATTGGAGCAGGAAGTTGCCGTCCAAAAAGCGCACTATGAGGCGTCCGATGAGACGCAGAGGATGATGTGCCAAGCATTGTTGGAGATCGCTGCCGCCATCCGTGGTCGGTCGGCCATGTAGGCCATTACGTGCTGTGTTGATCAAAGTTGGTTCTTTGCCGTCGTCATGGAGTTCTTTTTTTTTTTTCGGTTGTGAATTTCATGATGTTGCCATTGGCGATGCTCGTGGACGGCTCCCGCGGAAGCAATGCCAAGTAGTTGACGGACAATCGGGGGCGGCGAGAGGGGGGG